CTCTCTCTCTCTCTCTCTCTCTCTCTCTCTCTCTCTGTCTCTGTCTCTGTCTCTGTCTCTGTCTCTGTCTCTCTGAATCCCTCTAGCAAGAAGACATTTCCTTATTCATCCCTGGATTCAGTGCTGACAGAGAATAAGGAAATGTTTTTTCGATGTAAACAGCTCAAATGCCTTCTCTTCCGTGAAGATGTTTGATCTTAATGGTAGAATCTATATGCAATTGCTTCTAAAATAAATAGCACTGAGTCATTCTGCAGGATACTGATGTGCCTTCTCCCCCCAGACTGAATTCCTACACCACCTGGACTGATGTAGCAAAAAGAACACAGTGCTTTAGAGTCAGACACAACAGAAATCAGGCACTTTGAGAATCTTGGCTCTGCCACCCTCTAGGTGACACAAAAAGTTCATTTCCCACTCTCAGTTTTAGTTTTCCCATTTGTAAAATAGTTAATAGGGTTGCTATGGGGTTTAAGTTATTAATGTATGTCACAAGCCCCTGTAACAACTGACATATAATAGATGCATTTAAGTTTTGTGAGTTTTTTCCCCAGTGGACTGAGAGTGTAGCCCCGTGCTAGAGCACATGCTAAAAATGTGTGAGCCCCTGGGTTCAAACCAGAGAACCATAAAAAAAAAAAAAATTAAAAAGGCAAACATACTATCTGAAAAACACCTTGGATCTAATCTCAGAGCTACATCACAAAGATGTCATCGCCTCCTATTCTGAATCATGGTGGAAGCCTAGGGTGTGTGGTCAGGTGTTTGTTGAGAAGAAAGTAGTTATGAAATCCTAAATCTCAATTTAGTTCAACTCTGTGGTGCCAGGATCTGGTGGGATTTCACAGAAATCTAAGCTGTTTCTAAGCTGTATTCATTTCCTGAAGCCACCAAATTAAATTACCACAAACTAGATAGCTTAAAATGAATTTATTCTTTCAGGGTTCTGGAGGCCAAAAGTCCAAAATCAAGATGTCAAGGTGCTTTCTCAGAGGCTCTAGGGAAGATTCCTTTGTTGCTCTTCTATCCACTGGTGGCTCCAAGAATTCCTTGGCTTCTGTCTACATAATCTCTTCCCCTATCTCTACATGAGCTTCTCTTCTTCCTGTGTCTTCTTTCTCTTATAAAGATATTTGTTATTGGATTTAGAGCCCACCCAGATAATCCAGATTTCATCTTGAGATCCCTAATTGAATTATATTGGCAAATACCCTTTTCCAAATAAGGTCATATTCACAGGTCCCAGGGGTTAGAACAGAGTGTGCCATCATTCAGCCCACTCTCCGAGTTAAGAAAATGGGCCTAGAAAGAGTGCACAGAATTACTTCCTCCTTTGGGAGGATCCCTTGTGAATAGTAATTGACACTCAACAAATGTCCAAGAGAGCTTCTCTATGTCAAACCTTTTGCTAGGTGCTGGGAAACCCAGATCCTAGAGGAGCTGCCCACTCCTTGTTTGAAGATCCAGTAAGTATATAAAAAGTGATACTCCAGTTGCTCAGTGCTGGATTGGAAGGAAGCCCAGGGACAGTGGAAGCCAAAAGAAAAAATAGTTGAGAGTCAGATTTCACAGTGGAGTGGAGACTGAAGGATCAATTCTCTCTACAAGATTTTACTGAGGTTCAACTCTGTACAGGCTGACTGCTGGTTGCTGGAAATGCAGGCTTCAAGTACACAACCCAATTCAGACATACTACAAAAACTAGAAGACCTGGAACTCCCACCCCTGGAGATATGGGGAGAAATCAAATAGCCTATTGCTTGCAAAATATTCAAGAAAAGGTTATAAACTATCTTGGACATAGTAAGTGTTCAGTAAATATTACCTTTCATTATTTTCATATGGCTTATTCTAAAAATTTTTACATTATTTGGATTTGAATCTATTTTAATATATGACTGTTTTAACATAAAACTAGTTTAAGCCACTTACAAGTGAAACTTAATCCCCACATTTATACATTAATGCTGTTTAGAGGTAGAGTCTCTGGGAGATAATTAAGATTACATGAGAGAATGAGAGTGGGCGGCCCTCCATGATGGTATTAGTGGCTTTCTCTGCCATGTGATATGCTCAGCCATGTTATAATGCAGCAAGAAGGCCCTTAATAGGTGCCAAGCAAAAGCTGGAGCCATGCTTTTAGACTTCCCAGCCTCCAGAACCCTTTGCCAAGTAAACTTCTAGTCTTTATAAATTAGCTGGATTCAGTTCTTTGGTTACAGCAACAGAAAACAGATCAAAACAGTACTGAAATCATTACGTACGCAGGGCCAAATAACCAAACCTACCCCAATCCACTTTGCTTCCTCTTCCTTTTCCCACCTTATGGGCCTAATGCATTGGGTAAATAAGAGTAATAAAGGAAAGGTTAATATTTTAATATCTTGAACTTAATTAAATTAAGTCTATCCTCTTCCTTTCAATAGAGCTCTTTCTTCCGTTCATTTTCTTGCTTAGTAATGATACCTTTGCCAAGCAGCCGGCCTTCTTCATTTTAAGAAATAATGTAAATAGAATTCCTGACTGAAAGGAGTTCACAGATCCTTTCAATATAAAGTGCTAGATGTAATAATTGAAATGACATATAAAGTATTATGAAAGCACATAAGAGGAAGTTCTAACTGCAGCCTGTTTTCCAGGAAGGCTTCCTAGGGGAAAAAGAGTATTCTAGGCAGAAGGAACAACATAAGCAGAGGCTCAGAGCAGAGGGCATAGCATTAGCATAGTCTAATGTGGCTGAACAAAGGCTGCGTGGGATAGTAACCGGTTAAGAGGCTGGAAGAAGCCTCCAGTGCCAGTTGAGAAGAACCTGACGACCTGGCTGAAGAACTTGAGTTTGAAGTTGGGCAACAGGAAGTCACTTTTAGAAAGATCACCCAGGCAGCCCTAGAGAGGCAGCTTTGAAGGGGAAGGACTAAAACCCGAGTTTTGCAGTGGCCAAATGAGAAATATAAAACCCCAAAGAGGCAATTCCCCCAAAGAATCCAATCCACAGAGCACAGGCCAAGGGGCAGGTCCCTGGGCAGCGTTTCTCCTCCTTTTCCTCCAAGGTCACTTTCTTAAAAACTCTTCCCAGAGCTGAACTAATTGTGGCCTCCTCTGGGCTCCCCGCATCTGATTTCTCTTCAGTATGCGTATCCATGTGCCTAGTCCTATGGGATAATCTGTTTGTTGCACTCTCTCTTCTTTGAACCTCTGCTTTTGATTTCTCTCTGAATCTCTAGTGTCTTGATGTAAAGGACATAATACAAACACCAGGAGACCTGGAACAAGTCTTCAGTGAGAAATTGACTGAATGTAGTCAGTGGATAAATGTTTGCAGAAGTAAATGTTGGGGTCACTCAGAGGCCTCCTATGGAAGTCACCTCCCCATTATTTAACAAAATGCCTGAGATAATCAGTCAAGGAAAAGCTTGATTTGGGATCAGGATTTCAGAGATTTCAGCCATGGTTACTTGGCCCTGTTGTTTTGAGCCTATGACAGCACAGTATATCACAGTACGAGCATGTGACAGAGGAGGCCCACTCACTTCATGGCAGCTGGGAAGCAAGAGAGAGAGGAAGCGGGTAGGATCCAAACACCCACTTAAAGGGCATGTTCCCAGTGACTTGACTTTCCTCTACTAGGCCCCCACCTCCCAAAGGTGCTACCACCTCCCAGTGATGTCAGGGGTTGGAGACCAATTTCAGGAACATTCA